AAAGAATTTACCAACTTTGTTTGATTACATAAACGTGACAGGGAGACTTTGGTGTGGACCTTTGGACGGAAAACCATCCTGCTATTTAAAAGAGATCTTGTTAACAGCATGGTCAGTGTATGAACATGATTACAAACATGATTATGAGCAACGACTGACAGATTAAATACCCAACTAGATTCAAATACCCAACAATCCATAAAGCATGTATATAACCAGCTCCTCATTCTTACTGGTTCAGACCCTGCAGAGCACAAACACTGAGACATTAACACTCCTGCATTACAGTCACATGGACAGTTACCACCAACATCTCTGACTCACTTCACTTCATCATGTTCTCTCTGATTGCCTGGAAAGTAAATCATGAAGTCTGAAATAAGTTTCATTCTATAACTTAAAAAACATTATTCTGAATGTTCTCACCTGCAGCTCTGATGACAACAACACTGATCACAACACACATGAGGACTTCAGTGATGAAGCTCAAAACCAACAGTGTGTAGCTCAGAACAGATGGATCTGTGTGAAATATGGACAATATTCTAGAAAAATCAATCAATACAAATGTTTTTGAAAATGTATTTCAGTATGCAGATGATTTTATTCATCCTGTAGAGGTCAAGAGATGTGAACAATGACACAAACCTCCCGATTAAGTTTTCTGAGAACTGAAGTGTTTTTGTGAGAATAAGACAACAGCAGCAGCTCTGGAGGTGTTACCCACAAATGAAGACCAAACATCCAGCGTGGTTAAAACACTGATGTGAACTATTTGAACTGTCTGAGTATCACACACCCACAGTTCCTTGTTTCTAAATCTGAACAAGCATGTTGGCTCAAGTTTAAAATAATTATTTTTCACCTCATGTTTATCATCTGCAGAGTCTGTAAATGGACAAGAATGTTGTCTATCCAGAATGTTACTGTGTTTGCTGTTCAAGCTCCTTGTTTTTCTCAGATTTATCTAAATGAATACATGAAGGAATCATGACACAATGTTTGAGTCTTACACGTTTATTTACATTTATTATATTATCAGTTGTAATGACAGAAAGAAATCAAAAACTTCCAGTTAAAGTCTGATTCAAACTCCTGACAAACAGCAACAACAACAACAACAACAACAACAACAACAAACCCAAATCTGAGTAAATTACAGTGAGTTTTATTGGTAATAAAAATAGGACTAAGACAAGCAAAATCTTTCAAACAGCTCTAAATGTAACACCAGAATTATTTTAAGATGATAAAACAAAGATATTGAATAAAGAAAATAACAGAATGAAAGCTCATAATTCACTTTTACCATTACTATTGACAATTCCTCTTTCTCCTCCTCCCCTCAGGTCAAGAGTCTGGGTGTCATCTGCTACCAACCTGGTCCGCTCTCTGTTCACCTCTCACCTGGATTACTGCAGTCCCCTTCTCTCTGGTCTCCCCCTCAAGTCTCTCCGTAAACTTCAACTAGTTCAGAATGCTGCAGCCTGGATCATCACCAAGACACCATCTATCCACCACATCAGCCCAGTTCTCCAACAATTTCACTGGCTCCCAATCACACACGGCATTGTCTCTAAAACCATCCTCCTAACCTTCAAGGCCCTCCATAATCTTGGCCCTCCATACCTTACTGAGCTCTTAAACACACCCAGCTGGAGCCTCACTACAGCTCCTGCCCATATGACCACCATGGGGTCCAGAGCCTTCAGCTGCTCTGCCTCCCGCCTCTGGAACTCCCTTTGACTTGACATCCAAAACATTGACTCTCTGGCCATTTTTAAATTACGTCTCAAAACCCACCTGTTCAAACAACCATACTCACTCTGACTTCCATTCCTTTTTTTTCTTCTGTTTGTTTTTTTATTATTAATGAATTAATTTTTTTAAAATTGCTAAATTACCTTCTTTTAAACTTCTGACATCTTTAAGTTTTATATTGTTAATGTGAATGTATTTTAACTTTGTTACGTTGTGCAGTGTCCTTGGCTGTTTTGAAAGGCGCCTATAAATAAAATGTATTATTATTATTATTATTATTATTATTATTATTTATTAAACACAAAAATCTCCTGAGAAGCAACAACAATGAAACCAAAGCAAAGTAAATTATAGTGAGTTCAATAGAAGATAAAAAATAACATTACACAAACAACTTATCAAAACAAAATAAGAACATGGTGACATGATTGTTCTGATACTTCATTGTTTCTATTGTCTGTACGGATAAAAACAAAGACAAACTTCTGGTTCTGTTGCAACAGTAAAACACATTCTGTGATTTTCTGTTCTCTCTTTTCTTTCAAATTATCTTAAAATCCAGCTTTTGTGTTTGAAATTCCTGCAGTTAAGAAAAATCTTCAGAGCTGATTAGTTGATCTGTGGAATCTAACAGAAGCAGAAACGTCTTCAATATTTTCATACATCACCACATAATCGTCTTCAGTATTGTGCTGCTGTGAAAACACAGAATATCAGAACTGCATGTATCATCTCTCAGTCACTGATTTGATCTTTACAATCCTCACAGTGTATTTAAAACTGTTTTTACTGATAAAACAAATGAGTTTGTCATAAATTCATATTTTCAGGATTCAGTTGTAAAACTCACCTTCTTGCCACAGTGTGTTTTGTAACCTGAACAGATAAAAGAGGAATTCTCCTTTAGCCTTCTTGTGAATGTTGAGGTTTATCTAAACTTGTTGCTTACAAAGTTTAATCTGTGAATGTTGTCACCTTTTGTTCTGGTCCAGATGCTGACTGACACAACAATCAGTGAGAGCGCTGCTACACCCACGAGAACAAGGATGAACCTGATCCAACTACCTTCAAACAGAATGAAATAATGAAGCACAGTTTGAAACTCATGAGGCTGAAAATGAGATGAATAAAAGAAATGTGGAGTCAGTCCAGGCAGAGCTCTGAAGTTGTGTTTGTATCGGCTCACTGACATCTTGTGTTTCTACAGAGTTCCACAATCATTGTCTTCTTCACAGCTGTGTGGCTGCATGAACATTCTGAGCATCACTTATCACTGTCAGTCTGCTGATCACACTCATGTCAACTACATGTGATCATGTGTTTAAACACTGTTGTTCTCCTGTTTTCTGACAAACAGACAGACACAGAGAGATGTTTGACTTGGTGTCGTGTCACTGCTGGTAGATGTTACTGTTCATACTGTGTACCTGTATTTAGGTTGTTTTCTGCTGCTGCTTTGGATAATTTATCTATGCTCGGTCTACTTAGTTGTAGTTGTTATGGTTGACACAGTTGCTGTGTATTTCAGATTTGCTGCCGTTGTTGATGTTGATACATTTGTAGTTGGCTGAGATGACTGACTGAGCACTGAATAACTAATTATCATTACATTTTTTGTTCAGGGCTGTACTACGGAGCAAGTGTGACTTAACCAGGCTTTCTTTGTGTAAGTCAGCTCGACAAAAACTAAAGTCCCAGTCAGACATCACAGGTATCGTGACGGTAATTATCAACTTTCTTTGTCAACTCAGACTTTCTGCTTCAGACTCTGTGCACGTTCACATAAAAAGGGCCATTTGACGCGTCATGTGACTCTTCTGCACAAAATGAAACGATCGAGTGCAGCTGCTTCAGTCAAAATGTTGTTTTAATGGAGAACAATGAGAAATAGAAACATTTATGGCAGTAAAAAAAAACGTTGCTACTGCAAATGGCGCAAGACAGGAATGCTGATAGAAAACTGTTAAATGTGCACTAATATATTTATGTTACTGATTGATACCGCCGCTTATTTCCAGCTGACAGCTGCACGTTAAAGTTAAACTTTAAACCTTATGTATTTAAACATGATCTTGTATTGAAGTGCATTTAGGTCTGATACTGTTACATAATGCAGGATATCACTTTAACTTTTGGCCAAATCAAAGCAAAATTAATGTTACTGATTGTATATTCTCTGTAGTAAATACCAGTAGAATCATCCATTTTCTGTGTTTTATCAGCTGCAGTAGCAGCAGAGTAAATGGACTTGACAGCAAATCAAAGCCAAACACAAAAACATATTTATGTGATTTCTGCTTCGCCAACTAAATACATGTCTGGTTCCTATGGCAACATAATATTTACAGTGTGTGATACTGTAACTACATGGCTTCATTCAGTGATATTCGTGAAATGATTTGGTTAAAGGGAGACGCTCTTTCTAGCCGATTTAAATCTGAGACTCTGAACATAACCTGCTCCTGACCAGGTTAGCGCCACAGCATCAGTTACCATGGAGATCTAGCAGGTAGAAAGAGAGACACATTCGTGACACTGAAAACTCTGACTTTAAGCTCAATACACCTCGATAACCCACTAATCTCACTTCCTAGTAAAGCCCTCTGGTTTGTGAGCAGCAGTCGACTTGGACTGGTGAGGAAACACAAAATGTGTCAGAGAGTCAGAAATGTGTGAACACACCGACTGACTGAGGACTGAACAACTAATCATCACTACACTTGTGTTTTGTCATTGTTTGTAGAAGCTGTTCTTCATAAGTACCTGGAGTTGTTGCCTTTTGTTCTGAGGTTGTGCTTGCAGTGGCTGTTGCTGTTGTTGTTGTCGTCGTTGTTGTTGCTTTGGTTGTTGTGGTTGATTTAGTTGTTGTGTATTTCAGAGTTGTTGTTGTTGTTGTTATCGGTCTTGTTGTTGTTGTTGTTGTTGTTCTTGTTGTAGGTGGTGGTGGTGGTGGTGGTGCTCTTGGTATGTCGTCTCCTAAAAGATGATAAAAACCCAAACAACTGAGAAAATTCCTCACATTTTCCATCTACAATCAGTAAATAACAAACTGTCCTGT